CCATTTTGCTCGCAACATCTTGCTTCTGAGTAGGACTTGCTCAGTGTATGTTCAGAGAAAGAAGGGCACAAGACACACAAGACTATCAAGCAAGGCCAGGGAAGATCAGTCTTTCCAGAAGTTTCATTAGGTACTGGATTATTTATAAATCAAAATATTGGAACTATATAAATGCCTTTTGCGGTTTCACAAAATCTGAGGGATCTGAGATAACAAAACAAAAGCACTGCCATCGAGTCACTTCCGCCTCGGAGACCCTATCCACCAGGGCAGACTGCTCCGCTGGTTTCCAAGACGAACTCTTTAGGGCCGCTGCAAAGAGGGAAACGCTCTCCACCTGGCCCGACTGTGAAAGTCCTCTTTCCCTTCCCTGCTCCTGCCTGGTCCTGGCCTGCCAGCCTTCTCCGATTCTCCCACCATTGGGCACAAAGCTCTTGTTAATGAACCAACCTGCCATTTCCTCTGGCCACCTCGATTAGCATTTAAGTCTTCACCCCAGCCTCAAACTTTTCAAATGTAAGTTTCCTAACAGCAAAGAGTATCCCCTCCCCCAAAGGCTGCAGTACAAAAAGGCCTGCGGATTTGGTAGGCGCTGAGGCTCCTTAACGGAAATACAATACTAATTGGTCTATTTCAAAACCGTTCTAGATTGCAGGAGACAGGGCAAAGGGTGCTTGTTGCAAGGAACTTTGCTATCAGCATGAGTTGACGCAAGGCCCCGGGACAGAGGAAGACTCCTAAATCTTGGAAGGTGAAGTCAGGACAACTTAACCTGGCGAACACAGTCTTTGTTCTCTACTTTAACAATATTAATAAGCAAAAAGGACAGCCACTCCCATCTGTCAGTTTGTCCTACTGCAGTAGCTGCATTGCTAAAAGGTATATGCCACCAGTATTTCAAATACATACTAGCAGGGGCTTCCGTGGCGGGCAGGTTGCAGCAAACTGCGTGCAGACACTCCAGCTGGGCTGCTGAAAGCTAAGAGGATTGGAACACTTGCTAATGAAGACCAAGGGCTATGGCCTTCAGTATGGACCGCAACTCAACAGAAGGAAAATAAAAATCGTCATTCACAATTGGAGCAATAGACAACATCCCACGTGGAGACAATATTGAATTTGTCGAAGATTTCACTGGATTTGGATCCACAATCAATGCCAAGGAATCAAATGACCCACCAGGCTGCAAAAGACCTTTGTAAAGCCTGAAAGTGCCAAGCTGACGCCTTGAGGACTAGCATGCGCCTGGCTCTGGCCCTGGCCTGGCGTTCTCAATGCCCGCATATGCCTGTGGACGCTGGGTGATAAACAAGAAAGCCAGTAAGAATGGACGCCTTGGAATTGTGGTGGTGCCACAAGACGGCATGAGACTGGAAAAGTTGGGAGGAGGGATGTGGAATTAAAAGATAACGCAATTTCCCCAGGAACCTTTTGAAGCCTTCTCATATACCACGGACTACCAGAACAAACAAATATGTGTTGGAAAAAGTTACAGCCAGGATGTCCCTGAGAAGCAAGGATGGTGAGAATCGTCTCACATACTTTGCACACAGTATCAGGGGAGGCCAGTCCCTGAAGGGCATCATATTTGACTGAAGGTCAGTTAAAGAGGCAAATCCTCAACGTTTGCTAGGGGTAGGCAATATAGAAAGTGGTGCCATAAACTGAGCGGGTATAAAGGCACCCTGGGGAAAGGAGGAGTGGGGCAGATGCAGACAGGAGTATTTGGATGCTGTTTTGAGTGTTGTTAACAAGCTGAACTGTGCTCTAAAACACTTTGTAGGAGTGCGCTGAGGAGGAGGAGGGGGAGGCACTGCTAGACTGGGCTATAGCAGCTGAACATAGAGCCTCTTTAAAGTTTTCCTCAGCTGATACCTGCTGATGCTGACAAAGAGTAATCTCTCAGTTAAGTTTTATCAGACACCAGGAAGGGTGAAGAGCCTGACCAGATCAAATGGATACCAGCAAGGGGCCTGCATGGCTCGCACCTGAGTAACCCCAGCCTGAAAACTCTGCTCTGCTGAAGGGCTCATTGTTCAGGCTATGTGGGCCTGGTAAAATGACTGGGCGAGGAATGGTACCCTCTAGAAAAGATGGCTAGAAAAGCCAGGGGTGGGGAATGCGGTGAGGATCACTCCCACATGGCCTTTCTAGCCCTTCAATCTCCCGACTTCCACCAACGACTAGGTGCGACTGTCCAAATGAGGGCTTATGGCCCTCGATGCAAACAAGGTGCACGGTACCATACACGAAAGAAACATAGAACCCTAATGAGGAGAACTGTCCCATCTTGGTGCCTCACTAGATGATAATGAGCCACCCCAGAGGTGGAAAGGGGGGAACCTTATTACCCCCAAGAGCAGCTGGGATCAGAGCACCTCCTTTGTAACCAAGGTCTCTGTGCTGAGAGCCTTTGAGGCCAGAGGACCAGAGCGATGTACTCACTATCCAAATGGGGGAGAAGTGATGGCAGAGAAACAGCAGTAGCGGCAGACTTGCACCCGACAGTGCGATGGGCTTCCTGGCCCAGGAGCAAGTGGTCAGAGCTTATGATGACCCATGGAGCAAGGGAGCTGGGCCCCTTTGGGCGGGCACGACTGAACGAAGCGAATTATAATTTGCTACTTCCCTAATAAACGCCATAACTAAGTATGGTCTATGTGTGGCTGTGGCAATGAACCCACCAACCCAGCAAAGGAGTAGAGCACTATGGGAAAGATGGCTGGTAGATTATGTCTGACCTCCACCTCACATCTTCATTGACAACACTGAATGTACAAGAGGGGCCTTATTTCCCTTACCCACTGCCATGGAGTCGGGCTTCGAGCGACCCTGTAGGGCAAGGTAAAGCTGCCTTGTGGGTTTCCAAGACTTAACTTTATGGGAGTGGAAAGCCTTATATTTCTCCCAAGGCTGGTGGTTTCAAACTGCTCACCTTGAAGTTAGTCAACAACAAGTGAAGCAAATTCCCCTGCCCCAAGGACGTACCAACCATAAAAGCCCAGCCCAGTCATTACCTGGAGTGGGAGAAGACTGTCTGAGAAGGAGAGATTAAACCAACTAGGTCCCAGAGTACAGGTGGAGAGAAGAGCCTCAGGGGGAATCTTTTCAAAACAAACACATTCACCTTGGGAAAGAGGGTGGGCTTTTCAGAATGGAAGAGAAGAGGCAGTGTGGGGCAAGAAGTTTAAACCAATTAAAAAGGAACACCAAGTGATGCTAATCAGGTCCTGCCACCAGCAGTCAGGTGCAACAGACTTGAAATGGACCATGGGTTCCGCGAGAATGGATTGGTCCGGTTATTGAGAAGCAAAACTGGGCAACCACAGCAAACAAGGTCCTAGGAAACTACCCTAGGGAATCTCACCAAATCCCACCCATTCTCAAATCAATTCAAGCTCAGCCTCTGGATAGGAAGGGCATCATTATTTTGACAGCTTCTGCAGTCAGTTCTGACTTACTTTTCATCTCTATGCCTCAGTCTCTCCATTTGTGGAGGGGAGAAGAGTGCTCACTTTAAAAGTTATTAACTAAAACCACTTCTGTAGGATGTAGTGTTCAGACCACAGCTGGGACTTCTCCCCGGCTTCTCTTGCCTCTAGCCCACCGTCTCCTTCCCTCTGAAGAAATCCTTAACTACTTGTCTAAAGTGAGTCCCCGAGCCCTCCCATCGTGCAGCTAGAACTCCAGGAGGATGGGCTAGAAGCTGTCCCCAGGCTGCAAGCCTCTTGGCTTTGCTGAGCCCCATTTCCCCTAAAAGCAAAACCACTTCCCAGACAGGATGTTCAGATGGAAAGGAAACGGAGTGAGAGATGTTTTGCTAGGAGAGCCCACCAGTGGGGTTATTATCCTGCATGCCCCAAGGGGCTTAACCAGAAACCCCAATTTGTTTGATTGCCCCAGGATGGGGGAAGAGGGGAGCTGAAGATCTCAGAGGAAAAGGCAGACTCAGAAGCAGGCGTGGGGGGGGGAAGGCTGGAAGATGTCTGAGTGTTCAGAATGGGGGTGGGTGGGGTGGTGTCCCACTGGGTTTTGTTTTGGAGAAGGTGGTCTCCAGAGTGAGGGGACCCCTGCAGTTCTCTCATCAACTCGGAACCCACCCCCCTTACGGATCCTAAAAGTGTTTGGGGCTTAGTAATGGCTCCCACTTAGTGTGCACTTAGTAAGTTAAGGGGGAGTACTTCCTATGAAAATTCCAGCTATCACTGGCGCTTGGGACCTGGCAGTTAGGTCCTGCAAAGGGAGGAGGGGCCTCCATGCCTGGGGACTGAAATGAAGGCCCTGAGTGTGTCAAGGCCTGGCTGACAGGGCCCGGACTAGGGCCTAGGGGTCCTGGAGGCAGTTTGGGCCACGCCATCTGGGGCCCTGCGAGTCCTGGGCGTTGTGTGGGCACGATGGCCCCCGGGGCTCCTACCTTTCAGCGAGGTCTCCACCAGGCGCAGGTACAGCTGCGAGTTCTTGTTGCCGTGGCTCATGCGCTGGGCTAGCCCGTTGCGCTGCAGGACGCACTCTTCAAACTGCACGACGTTCTGGTGGCGCCGCTTGAGGCTGGTCAGGGCCCAGAATTCCGCCAGCGCCAGCTCCACGTTCTCGGGGGCGTCGCAGCGGATCTTTTTGACCGCCACCCGGGCCCCGCTTCGCCCGGCCACCGCCTCGTAGACCACGCCGTAGCTGCCGCGCCCGATCTCCGCCAGCAGGCTGTAGCGCGGTCGCGCCGATCCCCCGCCACCCTCCGGCCGCCGCCGCACC